GAACAAGTGATTTTTTTTTCTTGCCCCCAAGCAGTGCTGGTTTGCATTCAGGACTTCCTTGTGCTTACTAGGCAGCTGCTCTACCACTCAAGCCATGACTTCAGTCCTTCTGGCTTTGGTTTGTTTTCCAGATAGAGTCTTGTATTTTTGCCTGGCCAACCTCAGACCTTGATCCTCCTACTCTGCCTCCCTCATAGTTGGGATTACAGGCGTGCACCACCACACCTAGCCCCAATTAAACTTTCTTGATTAAATAGAGGCCAGAAGACCTGGCCTCCAGACCTCTCCCAAAGCAACATGGTTTATTTAGGTAAGATTTTTTTTAAAATTTCATTTCTTTAAAGTCACAGTTCAGACTTGGAACTTGCAGTAGACAGAGCAATGGGAGAGGAAAGTTTCAAACACTGTGAAGGAGTACTGTGCTATTGTTTTTGAGCAAGAGGCACCCAATCTGTAGCACACAGGCAAGGAGGACTGTCTTTCTCACTCTGAGAAAACTATGCAAGGCTGAGAGAGTGTGAACAGCTGTTCTTCGGAGTCAGAGTGGACATGAGGTTTACAGTGACACAGCAGCCTTTCCTGGTGTGTCCCATGAAAGGTTGTAAACTAGCCCAGTATTTCCCCAACAGACTGTGTCCTGCAAATTCTATGGGATACCAAGGAGAGTCCCAAACACTCATAAAGAGTCCTCTGAGCAACCAAGACAGGGAAGGTCTAGGTAGAGTACAGTTACATGGATGTTTTTGTTTTCAGTTCTTGGAGTCTTCACACTGTGAGCATCATCCTAGAGAGATCAGAATGTGTGTTTCTCAGTGGTACTGAGCCATGGCGTTCCTCTCTGCATTATCGTAGGGACCAGGACTGGCAGGAACTCGCTCAAGGAAAAGCTGACACAAGGACTTTCACAGGACTTCTTAACCCTGGCTGCACCAGAGTCTCCTGGGGTACTTCAACAAAGCAAAACAAAAAGGTTTTCGGACTCCTCCCAAGAATGCTTAGCACATGCATGTCTAGGTTTTTTTTAAAAAAACCTCTGCTGGAGATCCTACTCTGCACTCAGAGCAGACAACCCCACCCTGTGAGAGTGGCCATGGATTCAGAGACGGCCAGGGTCAAGTCCCGCTGCCACACCCAATCACTATATTCTATTATTTGGGTTAAGTGACTTCATTGTCTTAGTTTTCAAACTCACAAAACAGGAAATCATACCTATTTCTGGTGGATTTTTTTGCCCAAAAGGGTTAAATGAAATAATGTAGTGAAACAATTCATGTAACAGGTACTCTTTTCAATTTGTAATCCACAGTAACGTCAATAGAAATACAAATAGTAGCTGGGTGTGGTAGCTCACACCTGCAATCCCAGTTGTTTAAGAAGTAGAGCCTGGGAAGATTACTATTTAAGGCCAGACTGGGCAAAAAGTTATCAAGACCTCCCCTCTCAACGAATAAGCAGGGTGTGGTGGTTCCCACCTGTAGTCCTAGTTATGACGGAGGCTGTAGGTAGGAGGATGGTTGTCCAGGCCTGCCCTGGGAAAAATTAGAAGACCCTCTCTCAAAAATAACTTAAAGCAAGAAGGACTGGAGATGTGGCTCAAGTGGCAGAGTTCAAAACCCCTGTACTGCCAAGAAAAGAAGAAGAAAAAGTACAAATAGAAAAGTTATTTGCTCTCTCAAATCTTTTAGGCTCATATGCCAACAACATTTGCCCTTCTCTAACAAGAATGAAACAATTGTGGATTCCTGTGCCTGTGACATTTTGACCTTCCCTGTCCGTGAAGCCAGGTTCTGAAAGCCAGCATCAGACCTGATCATTTGCTGATCGTTAGCAAAGACGGTTGTGAGTATTTTTTGGCAACCACGCCCCCAAGTCTTTCCGAAGAAAGTTCCTTTCTTTCAAACTTGACTTTCTAGAGATTATCTAGGCCAGCCCACAAAACCGAAATCTGGGTTTAGAGAATGCGAAGTGGATGTCATTGTGGGTTTGCATCACACTCCGTGTGAAAGGCGAGCAGCAGTGCACACTCTGCTGTCGAGGAGTCACTCAACATGCAAACTTCAAAGGTGCTTCTACTTCTACAAGAGCAGATGTAATAACACCCAGGGTCGTCACGCTCCCTTATCCTCTTAATAATCCCGTCAGTATCCGATTCCGCTAAATAGATTTTCAACATTTAAGTGTGTGTGTGTGCAACGTGTGTGCCCGTTTGTGCACACGAGACAAGTACCCTTCAGAAGAAGTGCATGTGTGAATGTGGCTCTGACGCACAGAAGTGCCTTTGCGTATGAACAGAGTTGTAGAGATAATTCCCGTCTTATAAAGATCATCTGCAAGTCAGTAATTTGAATATTTTCTCATAAAAGAAAAGTTCTTCAAAGTGGTGAGTGCTCGGCCCAGCTCACAAGGGCCTGCTTAACTCCTTCTACACCTGAAGCAGAACTGCTATATATTTTTTTTTAAAGAGAAAAATGTTTCCATGGGAACTAATTTTCAGAGTTCTCCTGTTGAAGGGTGAGAACCACTACAAAAATTTAACTAGTCTGCTGGATCATTTTCCCCTTATTTCTCTAACAAACGACCAAGAAGAGGAGCTACTCATACCACAAACTATTTCCTGAATATATTAAGTTAAAATAATATTTCTTTCTTGGTTGTTCTTTGAAACTTTAGTAAAAGGAATATATAGAACAAGGACAAGTTTTCCTAAATGTTATTGAACTGGAGACTTAGTTGCTTGTCACACTGCTTCCTGGCTGCTCTCCTTGGATCCCAATGTCAGAGAAGCTGACTCCAGAGGGGCAACAGTCACTGTTGTTCCATTTGTTTTTACATCAAAATTACAGTTTTGTTTTTCTGTATATCTTTACCTTTGCCTTAGGTTTTTAAAATTTGCCTTATAATTTAATAAGAATCTGCAATAACTAATGAAATATATTCCAGGTCACATTGACCACAGGAATCAGAAATGCCTCAGTTATATAATCCACAGATTATTCTAGAAGTTGTATAAATATTTCACAGAATCACAGGCCTGAAAAGAACCTAGAAAGATTGTCTAGTCTACTCGCTGGCTTCCAGACAAGCCAGCCATTCCAAACAGATGAGAGCTAACCTATATTTCAGAGCTGAAGGGTGACTCAGTCTTTAACCCTTTCTGCATCTCACAATCTGTACACTATTATAAACCGTTGCTAACTTTTCTTCTAAGTCATTCCATTCACAATTACCATTGTATTTTACTGTCTCATGTTTAAAATAAGAAACAAAGGAGGTTTATCTGTGCAAATCCCACTGCATAATTAAATATCGTATTTCGTGCTCTTTCCTCTAGGACATTCTGGGACATACCAGTGTGTAATCCTTCAGTTTCCATCATCTCTTACTCTGGGTTCTTTACACCCTTTTCAACAGTGGGAACTAAAACTGAGTATTGGGACTGGTGGAGTGGTTTAAGTGCCTGCCTAACAAGTGTGAGGCCCTGAGTTCAAACCTCAGTACTGCCTAAAAACCAAACAAACAAAACCCTACAACTGAGTATGGTTTCCATAGATAGGAATATTTCAATACAATCTGGTAAGTAGGCCCTAAGACTTAGATCAATAGGAAAACCAAATTTAATTATCGTAATAGAATTACAAGAATGTAGACTATCTAGTTATAGATATTTCAGGTCGTTAAAAGGGTATAACCAGCCTAATTATATTAGTTTTTAATCAAGTAAGGAAATCAAAGATAACCTATCCCCATTAAGCAAAGTTATACATAAAATGTGATCTCCTTCCATGGCACCAAGTGTAATATTTCCTATGTAGAACCTCGTACAGAACCTACAAGGGGTAACCTCAAAATATCTTTAGTTTATTGGTAATGAAGATTTACTTAGTGGTGCTGGTGATGACTACTTCCACTCGATACTTAGAGACTCTGTCATGGAAGCTGTTCAAAAAGAATGACATTTTGAGCTCTATTTTGTGGAAGATACTAAACTGGCTTTAGAGCAAGTACTGTTGGCTATGTGACTGCCTTATAGCAGTCTCCTTTTCCCCCAAGGAAAAAAGACAAGAAAAAAATAAAAGAAAGGCAGGGCTAGTAAAGTCAGGAAGGAGCTCTTTGAATGCTTCTAAGGTCAAGTTATAGCTGAAGAAATGAACACAGTTGGAAATTTTCATAATTACAATCCCAAATGACAGTAAGCCATGCGCCACTGTCACACACACGAGCCACTCATTGGGTGGCTGCTCACCCTAAGTTTCTAAGAGGACAGAACAACTTTCTGAAACCAGGTTAACAAACTTGACCCTGAAAAAGGATCACTGAGAACACTATGCTCAACTTTTCTCCCTTGTAAAGCACCTTCCTGGAGACTGATGTCCTTACCCTAAAGTCAGACCAGCCTTCACATCTTCCTGGCAGAGAGACAGATCTGCCATCCTGCCATGAGCATGGTCCACTTGAGTGGTTCAGCTATCCCAAGGTCAATGATCCTGCCAAGTGGGGGATTTTTTTGTCACCACTGAATACTCCAAATGTTGCTTCTGAAGCCCTAACCCCTCTGAGCTTGCTCTATCGGGGAGCTCAGGTCCCCATCCACCGAGCAGGTTCCTGACCAAAGAGTTTTCTCTTTACTATAACCATAATGCAGAAAGAAAACACAGAGAGAGAACTGCTAAAAGAAAAACTTCTCATTTGGGCTGTGAGGATGACAGCATTGTTTATAGTTTAGTGGTTTGGCTATTTTGAGGTTATATGTCGCTCATTTTAGCTAAACAGACAGTGATCCATGTACACCATCCATCAATCCTAACAAAAGTATCCATTTAGGGACACTTCCTGGTTTTTAGATTTCCTGCACAAATCTTAAATTGTCTTCTACCCTTTGGCAAAAATACAGCATGAAATTGAAACTTCGGTATTCACTCGCAGGAGCTTCAAGTGTGTCCACTAATTTCACAAATGGATTGAAGCAAAATACAGCTTAACAATGGGAAAAGTCAATTTACCTGTTCATTTTTTGTAAGTCTGGTTTTGTTGTGAATGTCTGATGTGACCAAATTAAATCCGTGCTTCTCTGACAAGATTCGCAGAAGCAAGACCACAGTACGACTTCCACACTTGCCTACTCTGTTGTACACCACCTGGCTGGGGAAAGGAAGGACCTGTGAGAAGAAAAGAGAACAAACATGAAATGTTTGGATGAAAACACCTGAGATGCCTCCCTCAATTTCAGAACAAGGGATGCTGGGTAAATGGAGGTTAGACGGGCTATACCAGGTTACTGAGAAAACAGAAGCAATGAACTAGTGTGTGAAGATGCACGCCTGCACAGCTTAAAGTGAGAACTGCTTGATCCACACTGGTGCATACTTGATACTGGTCACACCTCATGTAGTCTATAAGACTGATTATGAAGCGCTTTTTGGTTCTTCAAAGAACAACATATACAAATATTTGCTTTAGTTAAAATAGTTTTGCAAGCCATATTGATCAGCACAACTTAATTTGTAGAATGGTCAAGAAAAAATATAGAAATGTTGAAAATAGAGATGTAATTCATGTACAATCAAATTAATCCTTTTTAAGTGTCTGCTTTAGGAGGGGGTTAGTATATTCACTAAGTTTTGTAAGCATCACCAGTAGCTAATTCCAGAACATTCTCACCACCACCTAAAGAACCCCCCATGTTTATTAGCAATTGCTTTCCATTTTCCTTACAGGCCCCTGGAAACCATTTATTGATTTAGAGTGTTATGGTTTTGCCTACAGGATTCTCAGCAATCATATAAATGAAATCATAAAACGTAGCCTTTGGTGTCTGGCTTTTACTTGGTAGAACATTTTCTAGGCTCATACATGTTTAGTATGACTCAGTACTTCATTCTTTCAGAGGGTTGAATAAGACATTGTGTGAACACACGGTATTTTGTTTATACATTCCTCAGTGGATGGACATGTGGCTTGTTTCCACCTTTTGGCTACTATGAGTAATGCTGCTATGAACGTTTGTGTGCAAGTTTTTGCATGGACATATGTTTCCAATTGTCTTGTGTATATATACCTAGGAGTAGAACTGCTGCAATGTTTAATTTTTTGAGGAACTGCCAAACTGTTTGCAGTACAGTTGCACTATTTTATATTCCCATCAGCAATCTGAGAGTCCCAATTTCTCCACATCCTTGCCAACACTTATTACTGCCTGCTTAAAATTTTTTCCTTTTATTACAGGCATCCTAGTGGGTATTAAGTGGTATCTCGCTATGGTTCTGAACTGAAAATCTCTTCAGCTGATGTTTGGTCATTTTTTGTATTTTCCTTTGGAGAAATGTGTATTTAAATTTTTTGCCAGTATAAAATTATTTTTTTATTGTTATGTTATATATATTCTGGATTTGTAAATAAATGACTGGCAAATATTTTCTCCCATTTTCTAGGTTGTTTTTTCACTTTCTTTTTTTTTTTTTCCTTTTTCTTTTATTATTCATATGTGCATACAAGGCTTGGTTCATTTCTCCCCCCTGCCCCCACCCCCTCCCTTACCACCCACTCCACCCCCTCCCGTTCCCCCCCCAATACCCAGCAGAAACTATTTTGCCCTTATTTCTAATTTCTTGATAGTGTCCTTAAAAGCAAAAAAGTTTTTAATTTCGATTGGGTCCAATTTGTCTAATTTTTCTTTGCTTGCTTGTGCTTTATTGTTAGAGCAAAGAAATCACTGCCTAAGATCACAAAGAGAGATACCTGTGTTTCCCTTAGGCTTTTTCTATGTTTTCTCTTATCTTGCCTTTATGTTTTATAGTTTTCATTCTAACAATTTAGAATTTTAATCCATTTTTAGTTAATTTTGTGTCTGGTATGAGACAGTGGTCTAACTTCAGAAGTCTTTTGCACCACCATTTGGTGAAAAGATTCTTTCCTCAGTTAGTTATTTGGCACCTGTAAATGGAAGGCTTATTTCTGAACTCTTAACTCTACTCCATTGATGTGTATGTTTATCCTTATGCCAGGACCCCACAGTCTTTGTTAGTATAACCTTGTTACAGGTTTTGAAATTAGGAAAGGTGGCTCCATCCAACTTTGCTTTTCTTGATTGTCCAAGATCTTTTTGGTCATTCTGGGTCCCTTGCATTTCCATAGGAATTTTAAGGTCACCTTGTCAATTGTTTTAATCTTTTTTGTATTATTGTTGTAGTGATGGTACATTGTGACATTTACAAAAGTTCTACAATATATCATAGTTGAATTCACTCCCTCCATCATTCTCCCTTATTCCTCCTCTCCCCATTCATGGAATAGTTTCAACAGGTCTCATTTTTCCATTTTCATACATGAGTACATAATATTTTCACCATATTCACCGTCCTACACCGTTTCCTTATATCCTCTCCCTTCACACTGATACCTACCCCTACCCCCCAGGCAGGACCTGTTTCACCTTCGTGTTCTTCATTTTTGAAGACATTCTTGTTGTATAAGATAACTATACAGGGCTTTTCACTGTGATGTTTCCATGTGTATATGTATTATAACTCAAATTGGTTCATCCTCTCTATTTTTCTTATTTCTGGCCTGGTAGAGTGGCTCAAGCAGCAAGAGTGTGTGCTTAGCAAGCAACAAAAGAAATGTTCACCTTGTCAATATTTGCAAAAGAAAAAAAACAGTTGAAATTTTGATAGGGATTGTAGTCAAGTGTAGATCAAGTTAGGGAGTAAGTCTTCCCATCCATGAACACGGAGTGTCTCTCTACCTAGTGTATCCGCCTTCATGCACTTTGCTTTCCTTTTGCTGAAGTTATTCTTTTTGGTACTATTGTAAATGAAATTGTCCTTTAATTTTATTTTTGGATCGATTATCCATTAATAAGAATACAATTGACCTTTGACCCTACAATCTTATCGACCTCATTTATGAGCCCTAACAGCTTTTTTTGTGTGTGTGAATTTTCTACACACCCAATCATGTCTATAAATAGAGATGCTTTTACTCCTTCCTTTCCAACATGGGTTCCTTTATTTCTTTTCCTTCCTAACTGCTACATGACCATTCTTTTGATAGACTACAGAAGCCATTATGAAAAGTGTCTATAATTAAATATTTATATCCTTAATGAAACTTCTATTTCCATTTTGAATGCTCAGCATTGAGCAATAACTGATGGATGCTCATCACAGGATTTCTTCATTTAGAAGGTTATAAAAAGGTCTAAAAGTAAAGAATATAGTAAAGTATAAAAACTCATGTGTAAATATACTCAAATCTTGCCTATGATATGCCATTTAGATTTTTGCCTTTGTAATTACAGATTAATGAATTTTCTTAAAATATTTTATATGCAGAGTGGCATTTCATAGGTCTGGAAATGGGCACTGAAGTGAAACATAACATTTTTATCACTCAGTCAGCAACCAGTCATGTGCCATTTTGACATAATTCTTTCAATTCATACTTTTTCTTTTTTTTTTTAAATATCTTTCTTAGTGTATATTAATTATAAAAAGTGAGGAGTTTCACTGTGGTATTTCTGTACATACATATGTACTTTGATCATATTTACCCACCCCTCTCTTACTCTCTTTTATATCCCTCCCTGTTTTTCTCTTATGTAGAATACACTATTTGTTTAGGGCCAGTGCCTGGATATTGATGGAGTCTTGGCTGCTCTGAAGAGTCTAATGTGCTATTTCTCACTAAAACAATGATTGTGCTAAAATTTGAAATGAAAAGGATCTTCAAACACAGCTGATCTTTCTAAGCAAATACTAATAAAAGGCATCATGGTAAAAGGCAAGTTATCTTGGTAGGCCACTTCTATTTACGAGTTTATCAGCAAGAAAACTCAACAGTCTGTTCTCTGGCAACTAAGGCAACTCGGATATTCAGAGAAATCAGTTAAGTTTGCAGTTATGAGCATGGCCCAGGGTCGGTGAGCCAGCTTTCTGCTTAGTAGAAGGCAGTAGTACTGTTTGGCCAGGCATGGTGGCTCATCACATATGGTTGGGAAGCAGAGAGCAGGAGGATTGTGGTTCAAGGCCAACCTGGGCAAAAAGTTGGCAAGATCCCATTTCAGCAACAAAGCTGGGTGTGATGGTAGCCATCTGTAATCCCAGCTATGCAGAAGGCATAGGTAGGAGGACTGTAGGCCACGGCAAGCCCTGGGCAAAAAGTGGGAGACTCTATCTGAAGATAACTAAAGCAAAAAGGGCTGGGGATATGGCTCAAATGGTAGAGTGCTTACCTAGCAAGTGCAAGGCCTTGAGTTCAAATCCCAACAGCACCAAAAAAAAAAAAAAAACAAACACAAAAAACTGTCATCTTTTAATTGAAGTGTAATTTTTGGAAAGATGGTGAAAAAAGGAACTGATTTTTATGGAGCACTCACCCTGTCCTAAGCCCCACGCTGTTTGTACCTTGTCATTATTATGGAATCAAATAACGTCATTGTCTTTTAGTCTAGCTGTGCATTTCTCTATGAGTTTTCATGATCAAATGACTTAAGCATCACTAGCAACATCTATGTGACTCTCCTATGTGCCCCTCTTCCCCACAGACCACGAATTCATGGAACAATGGGATTGAAACCTAGACACAATCAGAATAATCCATCCATTCCATCCACTGTCCTCAGCACTATCACCCTCCACAGTCCAATCTGTGCTTGATTTGGCTAGAACTTTCTTTTCTATTATGTCCTTTTATCTCTGTGAGGTAGATGTCTCGTTATATTTAGGTGACTAAGCCAGAGCCTACAGAGATCATTTGGCATTTTCCAGGTCACACAGCTAAAAAGTGGCAGGCAACAACTGAAGCCCAGCTTTCTGCTCTCTTGACTCCTAAGATGACATTCTCTTTAATATATAATAAAACCAAAAGCTGAAAAGGACTTTTAATCTAACTTCCCTGACAGAGACACTATTTCCTTTCTAATGTCTTACATGTATCCAACCTCATTAAATATGCTATTTTTCAACAGTCAGCTATCACAACCAGTCTCATCAGCCATTATTCAGCCATTATCCAAGTCCCTGGATGCTTAAGTAGAACCAACAGGAGCCGATTAGCTTCTCCCTCCATCCTGAGGACTCATCCTGGTAAGCTAATGCAAGCTTGGAGTGTCAGCATCACTAATGGAAAAAGAAGTAGCAGGATGAACTGTCTCTTTCTT